AATGACCATAACCTTGCCCCTTGTCAGCTCTACTATACACCTGGGAATTCTGATGATTCACATGAACTTATAGGCCCATTGTCTGCCAACCCTATATATGATCTTGGATAAAGAGTGTGGTTTTTGTTTCCTATTTTTTGAATAATAAATCAAATGGTAACATAAGCAGGGAATGTGACCAAGAAGCACATTTCATTTTTTTACCATAATGGGTAAAAATAGCTTAACAGAACACAATGAACTGAAGATGAGCCCTCAATTATTGATTACCTCCCAAAGGAAAATACGTAGTTCTCTGCGGATGCTCGAGTCCTATTTCTGTATTTCAGATAGAAATAAGCTTATCTGATTGGAAAGTGAAAACAAAGCAAAAGGATGGGTAAGAAACTGGTAAATAAATGGGGAGTATGTTTCTTGGCTGTAAAGAGCTGATAATTTCATAGTAAAAGTACCATATGGTTTTTAGGAATATATGTACTCAAACCATTTTCTGTGTACTAAATTCTGGCACTAAAATCAAATTCCAACATAACCGAATGAGTGAGTGACTCAATGCCCAGTACCATTCAGTAAACCCAGTAGAGGAAGGATAGTGTTCTTACCTGATAAGCATGTCATTAGGCCTAAGGCAAGCATAGCACCAGCCAACACTGTCAGACGGTTATAGCGCATTGCCATGATGGCGGCTATAAAGAATGTCTTGTCCCCGAGTTCAGAAACAATGATAACTGATATAGCAGCGACAAATGCATGGACAAACCCCAGATTCGTTTGAGTGGCTGGGTCTTCATTATTAGTATGAACTGGAGCTGCTGGCGTGACTCCTTTCTAGAATAGTAATACAGAAAAAAATCAGTTATTTTTGACAAAAATCATTATTTGAAATCTTTCATTCTGCATGTGAATAAAAGCCAGTTTCTCTGTCATGGTCATTAGATTTATTTATTGTCTAATCACGCTGAAAGCCATTACTGATGACAGAAACATCTGACTGATGGTGGCTACAATGCAGACCCACAGACAATTCTACAAACAATTGAAAAAATAAAGGACAGTCCAGATCAGCTATTTCTATACATCAAAATTATCTTGTTTTCTAAGTATTTGTGATTTGCAATTTAGTTCTTAGCTATGTCTCATTCAAATTTTCATGAGGAACTTGGGTAGAAGACCTAGGTATCTTTATCATACCTAGTGACATGAAGCTAAGAGAAATTTCACTGAACAGTTTAGAGGATAAGGTAGAGTGGTGGTTATGTTTTTGTGTTAACTTGGCTGGGCCTGGCTGAGTGGCTCGGCAGCTGGTGGTAGTTATTCCCCATGATGAAACTGGCAATCAACTCTATGGTGGGTTCTACCACAAGCAGCTGAGTAGCTGCCTTTGGGATGTGGTCTGCTTCCTGTATATAAGGAGAAGCCTTGGGAATGGTCTCTAGCTTATGGAGCACTTGGACCCTGCATATAGCCATGTCATTGCTCAGCAGCCTGCCATGCTCTGCCGACCTTGGGACTTACAGTGGACTTAACAGCCTACCGCGTGGTTTGGCCACATCGAGACTGTGCCTTGTTACTTGTCAACCTTGGGGCTTCTCAGCCTCAGCAGCCAGCAGCTGTCTGAGTGAAGAAATGCCTCTAGCTCCAGTGGGCTGGGAGCAGGAGGCAG